CAGGAGGGGAGATCGGAGAGAGCTCAGGTGTGGTCGGAGCACGGCCACCCTACCACCTCCCGGAAGGGAGATCAGAGAGATCTCAGGTGTGGGCGGAGCATGGCCATCCTACCGCGTCCAGGAGGGGAGATTGGAGTGGGTGCAGGATGGGAGCTCTCCACAGATCCACACCAAGCAGCGAATCATCCAAGCCTGCCCATGTCACGATGACCCAGCAGTGCCTGTACTACTTGCTAAAACAAGAGCTGGAAAGCTTCAGAGGAAGGTTAGGGATCCTGAGTGTGTTCAACATGTTACCTACAATGTGTAATACTCAGCAAATAATCATCGCATAACACATACACAGAGAAACAGGAGGTAGAATCTGTGGTCAAGAAAAAGGCAGTAAAAAGTGCACACACATGCAGGGTGGTCTCTGTCACTCACCACATGGGGCGGCTGAGCACATGAAGTGCGCCCGGTCTGAAGTAGACTTGCTGCGTGAAAGACATGCCAGTTAATATAAAAAACAGAAAATATTGTGTGTGTGTATATATGTATGTATGTATATATATATATTTATTTTGAGACGGAGTCTTGTTCTGTTGCCCAGGCTAGAGTGCAGTGGCGCGATCTCGGCTCACTGCAGTCTCCGCCTCCCAGGTTCATGCCATTCTCCTGCCTCAGCCTCCCAAGTAGCTGCCCGCTGCCACGCCTGGCTAATTTTTTGTATTTTTAGTAGAGACGGGGTTTCACCATGTTAGCCAGGATGGTCTCGATCTCCTGACCTCGTGATCCACCCGCCTCGGCCTCCCAAAGTGCTGGGATTACAGATGTGAGCCACCTCACCTGGCCTATTTGTATTTCTTATTGAAAGTATAGTATGAGCATTTTGAGTTAAAAATATACTAGTAAAATTAATTGTACCTGTTTAATATTTATATGAGGCTACAAGGAAGGTTTCAAGTTCTATAACAGGACTCTCATAATTCTGTTGGAAAGTGCCCGTCTAGATGTCTGATACAGCAGAAGACCGAGTTTTTAAATCTACAATTATAAATATTTAGGGAATCAAATTACAACGTGTCAAAGAATGAAAATATTTTAATTCTTGAGCCAGAGGAAGGGAAGACACTTTTTACTCTAATGGAGTTGGGGAATTTCAGGTTCCATACTTGATAATCTTGAGAATTGTCACTCCCTCCTCAGAGGTAAAAAGCTAGGCAAACTGAAAAATCAGCAGCTCTTCTTAAACCTGCAAGAGACCTGAGGTCACAGGCAAGCCACTGTGCGTAGATTGGCTGGACAGGTAAAGCAGAGAATCACCATACACTGGAGCACAAGGCTCCAAGGAACCCACACTGGGATTGGAAAGCCTGAACTGGAACTGACAAATTGCTGCAGTGAGGTGCGGCCACGTCTGAGAGTTAAAACCTCCAGGAGGCCTGTGCCTATGGGTCTCATGCTTTTGTGAGTTGTATCATCAGAAGCTCAACCAGGTTCGCGAAGTAAACATCACAGAAAAATCCCTTCATACTTACTACAGGGGAAAGAGAATAGGAATCATTTTTCAATATGCAGGTGCACTCTTCACTAGGTCTACCTTCCAGAGAAGCTAGTTAACTAGAGACTCACCTGGTGGGATTTTATCAGAGCCTTCTGACCTGGGGGAAAGGGAAATACCCAACTCAACCTCCAGAACTGAAAAGCAAAAAAGAACAGAGTATCCAAGCACTATGGGACTTCCACAGAGGCAGAAAATATGCATAACGGTAATACAAGGGGGAAGAAAGAGGAACAGAAGAAATATTTGTAACAGTAATAGCTGAATTTCCTCAGATTAATACCAGACACCAAACCATAGATCCAGGAAGCTCAAGAAACACCAAGAAGGATAAATGTAAAAACGAGGACCACAAAAACAAAACAAAAATAAACTCTACTTGGGCATAAAAGATTCAAACTATGGTGAATCAAAGATTAAAAAGCAAAGAAACTAGAGTAATCTCCTTCCCTATGGAGGATCAAAGATAAGAATTATATTCAACTTCCCCTCAAAAACCATGAAAGCAAGAAGTGGAGTGAAGTGTTTAAACTATTGAGAGGAAAAAAATTCCATTAACCTAGAAGTCTATACTCTGTGAAATTATCTTTCAAAAGTGAAGAAAAAGTAAAGACCTTCTCCAGCAAAAATTGCAAAATTTGTTGCCGGTAGACCTGCCTTCAAAAAATGTTCAAAGTTCTTTAGAGAAAATAGTAGAGGTCAGTAACTCAGCTGTGCATAAAGAAAGGAAGAGCACAGTCTGTTTACAGGGGCTCACACCTCTCATCCTAACACTCTGGGAGGCAAAGATGGGAGAACAGCTGGAGGCCGCTTAGTTTAGACCAGCCTGGGCATCGCAGTGAGACTCTGTCTCATTAAAAAGAAAAGCCAAACGTAGTGGCCGACACCTATAGTGCCAGCTACTTTGAGAGGCTGATACGGGTTACTTCTTGACCCAGGATCCTGTTCAAGGCTGCGGTGAGTTATAATGATGCTACTCCACTCCAGTCTGGGCAACAGAGCAAGACCTTGTCTGTTTAAAAAAAAAAATAGAAAAACAAAAAGTATCAAAGAAGAAATAGTGAAGGTAGAAGAAAATCTTTCATTTTTCTTAATAGATCTAACATAACAGTTCATAATAGCGACAGTGTAGTATACGCTTATGTATATGTCATATACACACACTTAAATATAAGTGAAATGAAGGAGAGCAGTGATGCCCAAGGGATGGAGGGATAGGAGGTTGCTGGTAACAGTGGTTAGATCTTACTCAGTTTCATTGCCCTTCAGAGAATGTTCTTGAAGTTTATCTTCTATGAAATGACTGGCTGCTGACCTGGATCGTAGTTTCTGGAGAAACTCTCATTAGGATTGTGGCAACACTAATATTCTATGGGTGAAACTTTCCTTTAGTTTTCAAATATAAAGATATAAGAATAATTTGCCAAAACTTGTTCTAGCCATAATGAGAGAACAGGGACCCAAATCACACATCTGCCATAAACAACTGTAAAGCTGCACAAAACGAATGAGGTGGCTGTTTTTAGTCTGTAACCACAGCTGTGCCAACCAGAACCTGAGGGCGAGGGCAGGAGAATGAATGAGACGCATCCACAGTACACTTGTCCTCTGGAGTACACCTGCAGATCGTGGCACCGAGAGCTCAGGTGTGGTCGGAGCACGGCCACCTTACCACCTCCAGAAGGCGGAGCTCGGAGAGAGCTCTGGTGTGAGCCGAGCATGGCCACTCTACCACCTGCAGGAGGCGGAGATTGGAGAAAACTCAGGTGTGGGCAGAGCATATCACCGTACCACGTCCGGGAGGGGGAGATCGGAGAGAGCTCAGGTGTGTTCGGAGCATGGCCACCCTACCACCTCCAGGAAGCGGGGGAGCTCAGAGAGATCTCAGGTGTGGGCGGAGCATGGCCATCCTACCGCATCCAGGAGGGGGAGATTGGAGTGGGTGCAGGATGGGAGCTCCCCACAGATCCACACCAGCAGCGAATCAATCTAAGCCTGCCCATGTCACGATGACCCAGCAGTGCCTGTGCTTACTTGTCTAAAACAAGGGTCTGGAAAGCTTCCAGGAAGAGGTTCAGTGTTCCTGTAGGTGTTCAACATGTTACCTTACTAACTGTGTCAATACTCAGCTATATAATTCTCACTGACTATATTTTCACGAGAATAAACGGGATTAGGTTTTTAGTTATTATTCTGCTGTCGGCAAGGATTATAATTGGCTCCTTGATGAAGGTAGAATATACGTGCGATTTATTTTCAGCTGGCGAGTGGGTGCTGCTGTCACTTGCATACATGTAGCGGTCCTTGGAGCATCAAATGTAGAAGTGCGGCGTTTCCTCTCTCGGTGCTTGATTTTCTTATAAAGTGGATTTTTGCTCCTGGACTGTTTTATAGACAAGCGCCAGTTGAATATAAAAACGAAAATACTGTGCATTGTTGTTTTTGTTTTTGTTTTTTTTTTTCGAGACGCGGTGTTTCCTTCTGTTTGCCCAGGCAGGAGTGCAGTGGCTGCGATCTCGGCGTTCACTGCAAACTCCGCCTCCGGCTCGGTTCTTTGCCTTTTCCCTGCTCTAGCCTCCCAGTAGCGCTGCCTCGCTGCCCTACTGCCTGGTCTATTTTTTGTTATTTTTAGTAGGACACGGGTTTCCGTTTTATCCCTAGTGATCTGGTGATCTTTCGTCTGTTTTTTGTGTGTGACCGGTTGCTCGGCTGCTCCTCGAGTGCCTGGATTACGAGCGATGGTGAGCCTATCACTTGCACCCTCGGGGCCTTGATTTGTATATGTTTCTGATGTTGAAACATGCTTATGAGTATGAGTCATTTTTGACGTTTAATATCGAGGTGGGTCATCACTCAGTAGGAATTAGTGTACCTGTTAATTATTATGGAGGCTTACAAGGAAGGTGTTTCAAGGTTCTATAACAGGACTCTCGTAATTCCTGGGTTTTGGAAAGTGCCGCGTCTAGAGGATTCTGGGGTTACTCAGCAGCAAGACCGGAGTTCTTTAATCTACAATTATAAATATTTAGGGAATCAAATTACAACGTGTCAAAGAATGAAAATATTTTAATTCTTGAGCCAGAGGAAGGGAAGACACTGTTTACTCTAATGGAGCTGGGGAATTTCAGGTTCCATACACGATAATCTTGAGAATTGTCACTCCCTCGTCACAGGTAAAAAGCTGAGCAAACTGAAAAATCAGCAGCTCTTCTTAAAACCTGCAAGAGACGTGAGGTCACAGGCAAGCCACTGTCCGTAGATTGGCTGGACAGGTAAAGCGGAGAATCACCATACACTGGAGCACAATGCTCCAAGGAACCCACACTGGGATTGGAAAGCCTGAACTGGAACTGACAAATTGCTGCAGTGAGGTGCGGCCACGTCTGAGAGTTAAAACCTCCAGGAGGCCTGTGCCTATGGGTCTCATGCTTTTGTGAGTTGTATCATCAGAAGCTCAACCAGGTTCGCGAAGTAAACATCACAGAAAAATCCCTTCATACTTACTACAGGGGAAAGAGAATAGGAATCATTTTTCAATATGCAGGTGCACTCTTCACTAGGTCTACCTTCCAGAGAAGCTAGTTAACTAGAGACTCACCTGGTGGGATTTTATCAGAGCCTTCTGACCTGGGGGAAAGGGAAATACCCAATTTCAACCTCTAGAACTGAAAAGCAAAAAAGAACAGAGTATTCAAGCACTATGGGACTTCCACAGAGGCAGAAAATATGCATAACGGTAATACAAGGGGGAAGAAAGAGGAACAGAAGAAATATTTGTAACAGTAATAGCTGAATTTCCTCAGATTAATACCAGACACCAAACCATAGATCCAGGAAGCTCAAGAAACACCAAGAAGGATAAATGTAAAAACGAGGACCACAAAAACAAAACAAAAATAAACTCTACTTGGGCATAAAAGATTCAAACTATGGTGAATCAAAGATTAAAAAGCAAAGAAACTAGAGTAATCTCCTTCCCTATGGAGGATCAAAGATAAGAATTATATTCAACTTCCCCTCAAAAACCATGAAAGCAAGAAGTGGAGTGAAGTGTTTAAACTATTGAGAGGAAAAAAATTCCATTAACCTAGAAGTCTATACTCTGTGAAATTATCTTTCAAAAGTGAAGAAAAAGTAAAGACCTTCTCCAGCAAAAATTGCAAAATTTGTTGCCGGTAGACCTGCCTTGCAAAAAATGTTCAAAGTTCTTTAGAGAAAATAGTAGAGGTCAGTAACTCAGCTGTGCATAAAGAAAGGAAGAGCACAGTCTGTTTACAGGGGCTCACACCTGTCATCCTAACACTCTGGGAGGCAAAGATGGGAGAACAGCTGGAGGCCGCTTAGGTTAGACCAGCCTGGGCATCGTAGGGAGACTCTGTCTCATTAAAGAAAAGCCAAATGTGGTGGCCGACACCTATAGTGCCAGCTACTTTGAGAGGCTGAGACGGGTCACTTCTTGAACCCAGGATCCCGTTCAAGGCTGTGGTGAGTTATAATGATGCTACTCCACTCCAGTCTGGGCAACAGAGCAAGACATTGTCTGTTTAAAAAAAAAAAAAAAGAAAAACAGCATCAAAGAAGAAATAGTGAAGGTAGAAGAAAATCTTTCATTTTTCTTAATAGATCTAACGTAACAGTTCGTTCATAATAGCAACAGTATATTATATGCTGATGTATATGTCATATACACACACTGAAATATAAGTGAAATGAAGGAGAGCAGTGATACCCAAGGGAGAGAGCAATTAGGAATTAGGATTATTTTGTTATTATAGTGTGCTTGCATTATCAAGAAACCAGTGTAGTGTCGTTTGAAAGTGGACTTGGGTTACTTGTAAATTTATATTGCAAATTCCAAGGCAGCCACTTTAAAAAAAAAAAAAAGAGTAACTGATATGCTAAGAAAGGAAAGAAAATAAATCATAGAAAATGCCCAATTAAGACCACAAGGAAAAAAAAAAAGTGAAAGACAAAAACAAAGAACAAGGGCAACAAATAGAAAATAGTAACAAATACGGTAGATGTTAATTCAACTGTATATCATTACTTTCAATGTCAGTCCAAATGCACCGAACTATATATTGTCTATAAGAAATCCACTTTAGATACAAAGACATACATATACATCAACAGTAAAGGGATGGAAAAAGATACAATTGTTAACGCTAATTTTTTTGTGTGCAATGGCCTGATCTCATCTCACTGCAACCTCTGCCTCCTCTGCCTCCTAGGTTCGAGTGATTCTCCCTCAGCCTCCTGAGTAGCTGGGATTACAGGCATTTGTCATCATGCCTGGGTAATTTATTTATTTTTTCTATTTTTGTACAGATGGGATTTCACCTTGTTGGCCAGGCCAGTCTTGAACTCCTGACCTCAAGTGATCATCCCGCCTTGGCCTCCTAAAGTGCTGGGATTATAGGCATGAGCCACCGTACCCGACCAACACGCATTTTAAAAAATGGAAGTGGTGATATTAATTTCAGACAGAGTCGGCTTTACATCAAGGAAAGTTACCAGAGATGACTATTAAGTAATAAAAGGATCAATTCTCCAAGAAGATGTAACAATCCTGAAATGTATTTTTGCTAACAAAGCATCAGAATGCCAAAGCAAAAACAGATACACTTCCAGGAGAAGTAATTAACCCACTATTATAGTTGGAGACGTTAACACCCCTTTATCAGAAATGGGCCAATTCGGTAGCCAGAAAATCAGTAAGGACAAAATTGAAATCGGCATCCTCAGTCAACTGTATATAACTAACGTTTATAGACTATTTCCTCCTCCAACAACAGGATACACAACATTCACCAAGACATACCATGTTGTGGTCCATAAAACACACCTTAACAAATTTAAAAAAATAGGAATCAAACAAGTATGTTCTCAACCACAGTAAAGTAGAAATCAATAATAGATGACGAGAAAATATATTAGGATATTAAACAATACACTTATACAGAATACATTGCTCAAGGAAGAAATCTGAAGATTTCTTTGAATTTTTGAAGTAAATGAAAATGAAAACTTGTTAAAAATTTGTGAACTGCAATGACAGTAATGTTTATAGGGAAATTTATAGATTTAAATGCATACGTTAAAAAAAACAAGATCTACCAAATGCATCAAGTACTCACAATCGCTTGCGTGAGAAAATAGCATAAGAAAAAGGAAAAGGAACATTAGCACACAATTTAAATTATACGTACACGCAGATAAGCGAGCAGAAAATAATTGAAAGAAGCAGCACGAACAAATAATGCTTACAAATGCATGAACAACAAATATCAACTCAGTGTTGCATAGAAGAGAAAATACAATTCTGAAACCAACAAAAGTCTGGTCGTACATTTCAGATGAGAAAATCTGACAAGCCCTCTAAACTATAGAATACAAAAAATATCACAGCAGATTAAATTTAGACTACCAATATCACGCAAAAATGATACAAAAAGAGCGAGTACGATTCAACATACAAGATTCCCATGCGTTAAAATGAGAATTCTAGTATTGGAAGGAAAAACTTTGGAGATGAACAAACTCTAACTAGCCGATCTACGACCATAGAGTCTTGGAGAACGGTATAGAGAGTTGATCAGAGAAACCGGTAAGCTAAGTTCCCCTTCTAATATGATGCATGAATAACATAGCCATAAAGTTTGAACCAGGATAGAAACGATTCTCGTATCATTTAAAAACTAAAAACGCTACCAACTATATTACCTGAATATATAGAAGTTGAATCAGCTGCGAATATCATGTGACATAACTTTCTAGAAAGCAGCATACTGCCCAGCCCAGACAGGCGACCTATTGAATGAGAATATATACGTAAAACACAGTATATCTAAGAGTGAAGGGTCTCTAAGTACCACAAAACTAACATGAGACAAATACTTCTTTGCTAGAACACATATAGAAGTAACTTGCTGCGAGGCATAGACTATGCTCTTATATATAACCACCGAGGAAAACGAATCCAGCATCAATTATAAACTACACACATATAGTAACATATTTAGATAACAAAATACAGCAAATGTACAAAGAATAACCATACAGAATCTCTCACATATCAAAGAACCATAGTATAGGATTACATAAATCTATCAATAAAAATAATACATACAAAGCGAAAATCTAGACAACATACCATTGCAACTATGCAAAATGCATCAATGGCAGAGACTAAGGTACTTATCCCAAAAGCTAGACCTACTTTTAACATTGAAAAGCCAATTAACGTAAATTCATCACATTAATGGAGCAAAGACTAACAGATGCCCTCATCTAAGAAAGATATAGAGAGGTGACAATCGAGACGGTATGGCAATAGGCGAATGGCAATTCACTACATTACACATATTGTATTTATGATTCATACATCATAAAATTGTAAGATCATAAAAAACAAAAGCCATAAAAACTCATAGAGAGTAAAAATGAGCAGAGATAACGCCAATCAGTTAAGATATTCAACATACATAGCAAATTTAAGAGCGCGACTGGTTATGATTTCCCTACCGGAGGATTCCAGAACAACTATCTATATTTCTCATAGATGCTACCACAAAAGCCTGTGAATCATTGCTTGAGTCAGCGCGAATGCACATCTCTACACGATACTATTTTCCATTTAGCGAGCGTTATCTTAGTATATGCCGATAATACGAAACAGTCCTTCTTATGGCAATGGGAACATGATCTGACGATTTCCTTCCTACAAAACTAAAGTATCAGCTCTTTCCTAACCTATATGTGGTGGATATAGCAAGGCTACTTTGACTCCTCTGCAACATTCCCTGTTTATGAAAGTGCTAGACCATACACACGCGCTAGGTATGATAGAATCTCAAATGCGACATGTACAACATCAAAGCGTGCACGTAGAATCATTTAGAAGCAGCCTTATTCATGGATCGCCGCCATAATACTCTCAAGCAACCAAAGTGCCCATGTCTCATGTTAGAAGTCTGTTAATAAAAAAGTGAGCTGTTGGATCACTATGCCCACGTTACACTCTGCGGAACACACATCATTCATGTATTTGCAAGCTCTTAATAATAAAGAGCTATCCATCTAGAAGTCACAAAAAGACACGGAGGAAACTTAAAAGGGCATATGGCTAAGTGAAAGAAGACAATCTGAATATATGCATGAGAGATGTTCTGCTTACATGGATGCCTGCGAGCCTTACAACACAGTGCTCTGTCGTGTGAAAATCTGGCTATGAGAAGCTATTCGACGAATCTCTGGGAATCTCGTCATCTAGTATAGCTCCAGGTTGTTGGCCGAGGGCCACACGAGGGAGCGGAGGCAGGGGATGAAAGTGTCGAGCTAAGCAGTCATGGAACGTGAAGACATGTTAGGCATACAATGGTGATCTCTGTATTGTATGACTCGTAATTATAGGCTGATTAGCATTTTACTGCTGGCAGAGAAAATCACCGAACAAAATCATATACAGGGCCGACACAGGAAGGAAATAACATAACCATGGCTGAGAAAATTTGGATCCTACACACAACACACCACCCCCCGACAATATTTTAACATCACATTTTTTTTTTCTTTGCCGGCGCGGCCCCAAGTTAATTGACAGTATCACACGGAGCTTGAAACACAGGCAAATTTCAAATCAATTTTGTTTCTCTGGCCCTCCACTTTGGTTAATCCTTTTCATTCTTCCTTCACATCAACTGTTAAGCCACATCAGGATTCATTGGGTCTCAGGACCTGTCACTATATTTCATCAGTACAACCAAGAATGAACCGCCTGATGTGAATGGTGGACGTTGGAGTGGGAAATGATTTGTCGCTGCTAGAGAGTATCAGTTGTGACAAAGTAACCCGAGCTCTGGTAGGGCAAATGTTTGATGATAGGAGACCTGTGCATATATAGGGGTGATACAGAGACAATCAACTGGTAAACGCTGGAAACATATGACCACTGAGATGAAATGGCGCTGATGCTTAACAGGTTGGAGAAGGAAGCATGACAAACACATTAACCAAACGTGCAGGCCAGAGATAACCAAAAATACAAACAGCAAAACCAACCAGCAACTCAAGCTCCTGTGATACGGTCGATATACTTGTAATACACAAAGAAGGAAAGGCGAGAGAGAAGCAGCAGAGACCCCTTTGAAAAAAGCTCCAAAATTTTCTCAGATTGATGGTTAACACCACCTCGCGGTCCAGCCTTGAGAAGTTCAAGGTGAATTCCAACGGCACGAACCAAGTATACACCAAGAATCACATCCACCGTTCCTGAACCAAAGACTCGAAATCCCGAGAATTAAGCAGAGATCCCAGAAGACTCCCAAAGAAAAAGACACGTCGACCACACCAGACGAACATTTGAAGCAACGCGTGACAACTTCTCCTAAGATACAGTGGGACGACCAGAAGACCAGCGAAAGAGATTTTTTAAAGCACTAAAAGCCAGCGAGAAAGGCCTGCAACGTCCATATCGACAGGCGAAATCTCCTTTATAAATCAGGGGGGAAACAACACATCCCAAACACTGAAAGCTGAGCAGAATGTGTTAGTAAGGCCAGAACCTACACTATAAACGGTGCTAAAAGAATTACTGGCCGAAATTGCGCAAAGGCTATCAGCATGAAAGGTAGCATCTATGACAAAAGAACCCTAGAACATCATACAGTGCTCCTACAAGCGTGGCTTGTAGAAAAAAAAATATAAACATGCGATAGGAATGATTTTATCTATACTTTATGGCTTTTGTTTTTTAATGATCTTTACAATTTTATGATGACAAAAATCATAAATGTACATGCTTCTCATGCCTCCTTTACCTGTTTTGAAGTCCTTGCTGTACCATGTACCAGTAGTTTATTCCTTATTATTTATTTATATTCTGT